ACCTGAATCTCTCACTTCACTGCTCTTTGAATTGAGAAAGCTCCTCGTATGAGGAGCGAAACGTCTTCTGTTACAAATAAAGTCCAGTTGTTTTTGTATTGAACGCTTTATGAATATAAGAGATACAATATTCTATATTTAAATTATCATCTAGGGGGACCAGATTTGGCCCGTGGTTCTTGAGTTTGACATATGTGCCTCACATGAACTGTCTAGCACGGTGGTGATGTGCTGATGATTTGTGTTTAGTTTTTTGACTTCTTGCTGTTATTGAGTCAATCATGAACTTTGCTGTACATCAAAGTATGAAAGTATTTAACTAAAGTTAAAATGTGAGGCTGTGTCTTCAACAGCAGGACAATTACCACATTAATTCTAGAAAAAAAATGTAAGTAAAAATATTTTGGTTCTGAAATGGCACAATGAGAGGTCAGACTTGATTGAAATAAGGTAGTGGGACGTACGGGTAATATTTTACTGAGCTCAGCAGTTTGAGATTAGCTGGTAACTCAAAATTGTTGAAATAATTTTCAGTCAATTCACGGCCAGTTTTTGAAAATCATGGTCTATCTGTGTGCACCTGTTGGAAAACTGTATTCTAGCTCATACAAATTGTTTTGTTGTCCACCTCCACCCACAATGGACCTCTCCCCACATTTCTGCTTTTAATCTGCTGAAATACACTTTGAAAATCAAGTTAGGCAGATTTGGTCAGTTTTTTAACTATTATCATTTATCACGGGTTTGTAGAACTGATATTCAGCTGTAGCCTTGAAGGTTTTAGCCATAAGAGAGTTCCTGTACAGATATTTCTTCCACCTGCGTAATATCGCTAAAATTAGAAACATCTTGTCAAAAATGATGCAGAAAAACTGGTTCATGCATTTGTCACATCTAGACTGGACTTTTGCAATGGTTTGTTATCTGGATGTCCAAATACTTCTTTTAAAAATGTCTTCAGTTGATCCAAAATGCTGCTGCCAGAGTCTTAACTGGAGTTAGTGGGAGAGATCATATCTCACCAGTTTTAGCTTCTCTCTATTGGCTCCGTGTGAAATCCAGAAATGAAATCTTACTTCTAACCTACAAAGCTCTCAACAACCTAGCTCCATCTTATATTAAAGATCTTATTGTTCCATATTTTCCTAACAGAGCACTTCGCTCTCAGGCTGCAGGTTTACTTGTGGTTCCTAGAGTTTCCAAAAGCAGAATGGGAGGAAGATCTTTCAGTTATCAGGCTCCTCTCTTGTGGAACCAACTTCCAGTTTCTGTTCGTGAGGCTGACACATTGTCCAGTTTTAAGACTGGGATTAAGACTTTCCTTTTTGTTAAATCCTATAGTTAGGGTTGGCTTGGTTTCCTGAGCTGTCCCTTAGTTATACTGCTATAGGCTTAGACTGCTGGAGGACAAACTGATCTAATTTCCTCAAACGGATAGTTACAAATGAATACAGATAAATAGTTTGTTTTTGTAATTATTTCTATCTTAACATGCTTTTTTTTTGTTTATTTATTATTATTATTAATTTTTTGTCTGGTAGCACGGTGGCGCAACTGGTAGAGCTGCTGCCTCTCAGCGAGCAGGTCCTTGGTTCAAACCCCGGTCCAGGGGCCTTTCCGGGTGGAGTTTGCATGTTCTCTCCGTGCATGCGTGGGTTTTCTCCGGGTACTCCGGTTTCCTCCCACAGACCAAAAACATGCACGTTAGGCTGATTGGTAACTCTAAATTGTCCCTAGGTGTGAGTGAGAGAGTGAATGGTTGTTTGTCTCGTTTGTCTCTATGTGTCCCTGTGATGGACTTGCGACCCATCCAGGGTGTACCCCGCCCCTTGCACAGTGATTGCTGGACATGGGCACCAGCGACCCCTGTGACCCAAAATGGAACAAGCGGGTAAAGATAATGGATGGATGGATGGAATTTTTTGTCTGTCCTCCTAGAGAAAGACCTGCTCGTCTCCATTCTGGACCTGCCATTCTGTGTCCGTTTCTCCTTCCTGTCCTCTCCAACCCAGCCGGTCGAAGCAGATGGCCACTCGTCCTGAGCCTGGTTCTGCTAAAGGTTTCTTCCTGCTACCAAGGAGTTTTTCCTTTCCACTGTGATGAAGTGAAGATTCAACACAATCTGCTGGCTTCCTTCCTTAGATAAATAATGTTACTAATTCCAAAGTTCATGCTCAATAATCCAGGTAATAATCCAAGAATGTTCGGTCAGGTCATTTGGATAGTTTCTTTTGTTGCTGAGACTTTTTTTTTCATTCAACCTTTATTTATACAGGTTAATCCCAATGAGTCTTGGGGACTCATTTATATTCGAAGGACTTCTTCAATCTGAGGAGCCATCAAACAAGCTGAGTCCCACCACAAACAGCAAACTCCATAGTGGAAAAAACCTTAGAGGAAGAAGTGCTTTGGATGAAGGACGAAACATCTCAGCAGCACAAGAAACCATCCAGATGACCTGACTGAACGTTGTTGGAATGTCACTGTTTTTTTTATAAATGAATGTTTCTGTTCAGTGTCCTGAGATGACTTCTGTTGTGACTTGGAATTATAGAAATGAACTGAATTGAATTGAAATATCAAAACACAGCTCTAACACTCTGAAGTTTACAGAAATTAAAGTGGGAAGTGTTCGAGGTGTGTTTGAGACAAACACAAACACTCTGCCGTGATTTTGAGAGAAAATGTGCCACGGACATTTTTGAACATGTTCAAAGTTCTAGCAAAAAGACTATACATGCAAAACAACCAGGGAAGGGAACTGAGAACGCAAACAAATATTTTGAAGACTTGCAGGGGAAAACTGTTGCCAACTAGCCTTCAGCACAGACAGGTAAAATGTCGAGCTGCACATTAAAGAACGGCCTGCAAGAACTGAGGCAACATGAAGAGTGGGCCAAGATCCCTTCAGTGGCTCATCACACAAAGACGTTTTTTCTGTGAGATACTGGAGGATGAGACATGCTTAAGGTTCTTTACACACTCACATTCTTACATAATTCTTTTTCACAACAATAACACCATGAAACTTTTTGAACTAGTTTAGTTCTGTTTTATTTAAAATACACCATGTCACCACGAGGTACTCTCCTTTTCCCTCACGTCTCTTCCAGCAGAGCACTAGATGCCCGGCCACAGACTGGTCCATCTTCATCCAGACATGACAGCACTTGTGCACGTATGTGTGTATGTGAGTGTGATTTACCAGTATGTGTCTTGTCCTGACTCAGTGGGAGTCAGGAGTGCACCCTTACCTCCCTCACCTTATCCTCCTTCACTTGCTCAATAAAGCTCTTTAAAAATGTGTCAGAGGTTTGGGGGAGGTTTCCCTGTGAGGCAGCTCAACACACTGCTGTGTCCCTGACAGCAGGAGCACACACCCAACCTTGTAAGTGTTTCTGCCCATACCTGTACTTTAAAAACACACACTGCCATATAAATGTTTAAAGGAATCAGTTGGGTCATCTTCTTGACCACAGTTCCAGACTAAACACTGACAAAATGAAATGTGCTCTAAATATAACGTTCTTGAAACACACATGCTGACATAAGCAAAGAACACACACACACACAGTAACACCATCAGTACTTCCTCTGGCTTTAATCTCATACATTTATTCTGGTCAGTCTGCTTACAGGCAGGAATTCACCAGGGCTTCTCACGTTGCAGATCAACACTTCCATTTGTGCAGCGAGAGGCTTAAGTGGGTTAGAGGCAGACGTGCACGCTCCACTTTCGTCTTCAAGCCCTCCGGGCAGTAAACGATTCTGTTAGAAAGGCTGCTGCTTGTTATAGACGTGCTTGCAGGCTGGAAGTCGTGGACGCCCCAGCAGCAGCCATCCCCAGTCACATTCATTGCACCACGCATTGTAACACGGCCTTGGGAAACTGACCTGGAAAGAGTGATGAGCGTCCATTTGAATTTACAGTATGCACTCGGGTTGGACAAGTACATAAACAGCTTTTTGTTCCTGCTCAGTGCAGAACACAGGAATTAAACTAGACTTTGCAGCAATGCTAACATCACATTTGACTAGCTGTTAGGTTAGCAAGTACCATCCTGACCATGCTTCTTATTGTAGCATTTGAACATCTATTAGAAGAATGCTTATCATCCACCATGTTTTAGGCGTATTGAATTAATTCTATGATGAGAATAGACAGTTAGCTGTTTTTGGTCAAACCTTGTAAATGATGTGCACATTATCCTGCAGTACTGCCGGATCTCACAAGATGTGCTAATGCTCAGAGTATGTGTTGTGAATGCCTCTCAGCCATTACCACATCAGCCTTAGCTCCATATCTGTAAATGTGATAACACTGTAGCTCTGGTTTTGTTTGCTAAGATCAATAAGTTGCGGCAGCCATCTTGAATAGGGGTGACTCTGACATTACCTCAGAGTCTAGTGTGAGCTAGGAAACTTACAACTGGAAAAAAAGAAAAAATATACTTTTATTTGGGAACAACAGGAAATGATTCATCTGATCTGCAAGGAAAAAAATAATGATTACCTGCAGTGTTCTTTTTCAGATAGATTGTATAAATTATTTTTCCAGAGGGTAAGTATTTCATACTTGCAGGTGTAGCATGAAGTTCCAGAGGAGTTCCAGGTAAATATGAGACCACTGAGGATGAACCAGGATGAATCATGGATTTTCTCAGGGTGTAAGTTTCAACTCTCTTTTTCCTTATAGGTGGTTGGAGGACAACACAGGTAGAGGCAGGAGCAGCGAGGACCAGGAGCCAGGATGTCGGAGGATCTCCAACTGGACTGCAAAGGAGCAGGATTATCAATAACTCTTTGACACAGAGATCAACGAGGGGCTGTTGAACGATCATTCACCAATGCTCCAGTGGTGAGTTCAGGTTCCCCAGAATGATCAAGAGAAAATGGGTGCATGCAGCTGTGAACAACAAATGAGGAGGAAAACATCACTGCTGCAGAGAAGAGGTCTTACAAAGATTAGACTGGAAATACAGGATTCTCACAATCAGTCGTTACATATGGGAGTTTCACTAAAATCCATCCAGTGGCTCATGGGATATTTTGCTAAGAGACAACTTGACTGCCATAGTTAGTTAAAGTTCTAAAAAAACTGATAATGTTTTATAGCACTTAAGTTGGGGAAGTCTCTCCAGCCACTACCACACCAAATTTTATTTATACCCATATTTGTGTTCCCACCTGCTGTTGAATTGACGCCAAGATTTAATCAGGTGTGTCTATATCCTCAATCATTAATTTTGAGAGGTGTTATTATAATCCCCCCAGTGGTTCATGAGGTATATTGGTGACAAAGCTGACAAATGCACTCACTACACACCCACACAAACAGACAAAAAATAAAATAAAATAAATGCCGTTTTGTTTTTGGCAGTCAGTGATAAATAGCAGAGATTCACTAATAATCACCAAACAGATCAACTAAGAACCACTAATGTATTCATCAAATTAGGATCTGAGCTCTCAGGTAGATGTTGAGAAGTCTTACTGAAAACAGCTGACCTTTATAATCTGACAGAAAAGGGCAATGAATTTAATTATTCAAAGAAAATAATAATAATTAAGACAAATTTTAAAAAAATGTGTGTTACTTCATTCTAAAACAATGTGGACCAAAGTCTCCTGCATGAGTCACTGAGACAAATGCTGGTTGTCAGTTTCCTGCAGCTAAAACCACACCCTACCAAGACTTCAGTAACTTACCTGCATGGATGCAACTTTTAGTATTTCATAACTGTGGTCATATTAATTTGTCTGTGTGTCTCAATCTTCGAGCAGGTCACTGGTGTGTTTGTACCCATAAGATGTCTCTCAGGTTAATGGCCTGTGTTCCACTGCATCGCTCAGACACATAAGTAGATTTCACAAATAATTGTCACTGGACTGTGTGTATTTGGATTTTGTGTCTACTGTAGATGAACATATTCTGTGATATATTCATAAATTAAACGGATTCTTTCATTTTTCTGGACTGAATAATGTTGTGCATTGAATTTAATAAAATGTATCGTGAGACGTTAATTTTCTTTGACCCATCAAATGAATGCGTCATTTATTTACAGAATCAAAGTTTAACATCACACATTTACATTAATTTGGCTAATTGAAAAATAACAACATGGCTTAGTTTAGCAAGCTGTACAATTAGAAACCATACGGCGATGGTTAAAACCTTGCTTCACAACAGACATTTCTAAAAATATCTGGAATGATTTCTAGCAGATAGAAGAGTTTAAAGATGGAAATTGAAGTTTAAGTTGAGAGAAAGGATGGATGAGGGAAATGTGTGTGTCGGCATCAGAACGGGACTCTCCGGTGAATTCCCAGCTTCTTCCCCGGTACACTTAGGTGGTATAAATCAACTCTTTACCTGGAGGAGATGTCTCCACTGGTACGAAGTTCCATTTAACGCACCCTTTCAGCGTCTCCGTAGGAACAGCTGTGAATCGTCCGAAGTAGTGACGGTACTTGTTCGACACAAGTTCACCTCTTGGTGGACTCACATGAGTGGAGTCCGTCAGAAGTTCCACTCAGAGGTGGAAGATGTCATAATCCCCACAAGACTCGGAAGAACTGCGGATCATGTCGGGATTTTCCTGTTTTCTCCAGCACTTCTCGGTTCGGTTCTGCTCCCAGAACTGAACTTCTCTCCCACCGCACTCGACTGGAGCTGGCGCTTGAAGCTGGAACCTGAAGCGACTGGTTTGAACTAGGAAGTATCGACATTTAAAGAGTTCTATTTCCGGTTCACTTGGGAGGTTCCTGATTGGTCGTTTCGACCAGACAGGGGTGTGTTTTTGTGACGTAAGAGGTCACTAGAAGTCAGAAAAACAGCAAGAATGTTATGGAACAGATTGAAAATGTTTTAAAGACAGACGAGAGGAATATTTAGGCGAGTTGGGGGAAAACAGGTGCCAGCCTCTATATTTACGTCTGAGAGGATTTAAAAACATGACAGTTCGTTCCAACAACTTGTTTTGCGTTTGACTCCAACCTTGGACCAACTTACACTTGCTCATTCAAAGACAGAAAATCAGAAAATGCATAATTACTCTGTAACAGACCTTAACATGATTTCTACTTTGCATGAGGATTAAAAATCACTAATACTGTTTCACAGTTGATTAAAAATGATTAGTTCACTTCAACA